GGCATGGAAAAATGAAATCCTTTGACTCTTCTATCCATGGAAACAGAGACATGGGTCATACAAGCCTGCAGACTGTTCTTTTGTGATTTACCTCAGAGGATGCTTTCCTTCATGGTTTTTGCCCCAGTTTGTGAACTCTCTCCCCACAACTGGCCTTCTGCCCTCACCCTGGTCATTCTGCCTTCATTTTCTGTCCCTTCCAACATGTAACTTTAAATATTTATTTGGCTGTGCTGAGTCTTAGTTGCAGCATATGGGATCTAGTTACCAGATGAGGGGTTGAATCCAGGCCTCCTGTATTGAAAAAGCAGAGTCTTAGACAACAGGCTGCAAAGGCAGTCTCTCAACATGTAACTTTAGATTAAACATAATACACATCAATCTGTCCTTCTGCCTGTGCTCACCTTCATCCAAACTTCACTTATCCTGCTTTCTCCTCTTTCAACATTTCACAGCATGACTTCAGAGTCAGAGAACTTCTTCCTAAGAACGTGCCTTCTAAGCCTTACTCCAGAACATCTGCAAGGATGTTCTCCCCTGTCCTAGGTCTACCTTAATCTCACTATATTCTCTGCAGAGAGGAGATTTCCCTAACCACTCAAGGATACTAGTGTTGTAGCCAACACTTCATAGCAGTAGGACAAATAATATACATTACTCTTCTGACCCATCCTGTTTGCTGCTTGGGATAATACAAATGCCACATGCTAAGCAAATATTAGCCTGATGTATACATACATTTGAAATCTGTATACAGTGAGAAGGTAATTGGAGAATGTAGAGAAAAGAAAATACTATTTGCTCCAAATGAATACAAAGTCATCACGGTCTTCTCTGCCAGTAAAAAGGGAAGCCTTGCTCTGAGAGATTTAAGCATGCTTATTTATTCTCTAGTTGCCAAAAGTTGGGCAAAAGTTTTCCTGGTCCTTATGCACTGACTTACAATGGAATTCCAACAGAGTTACACATGATGTTGCACTTGAATGCCCAGCGGGAACCTTAAGGTCACTGCAATAATGAATGGCTGAAGAATTAATAGGAGTTGAGCCTCATGCGCCTTCCTGTGTCACAGCTGGGCAGAACAGTGCTCTGTTCATGGCTGAAAATACGTCTTGAGACATGGCTGCCACAGCTGTGCTGGGCACGGTCGCCGTCAAAAGGCACTGCAGAGCTGGGGGCCTGCTTAAATCACTCTGCCCTCTTCTCATCAGACACATTTCCTTGACCATTATCAACTGCACAACAGTCACATTTGTCTATTAACAGACATGCAAGCACGGAGACAGTCTTACCAAAGGACATGGCCTTCCGTCCTCAGCCTTGCCCCCACTCCACATCCTCTTATCTTCTTTCCTGCCAGGACGTCCCTTGCTCACTTTTTTTTCATTGACTTTCTGCATCCACTCAAGGCCCGTGTGACCTGCCTCACCTCCAGGAACTGCCACATCCGTCCCCGGTGGCACAGACATGCTAACTCCCCTCCGCCTCCCTCCATCGAGCACAGTCTTCGGCTTTGAGCCGAAGTCATAGGCTTTGAGCCTGTGCGCAAAGCCACCCACCCACTGAAGCCCCCATTCATCAGCTCTATGGCCAGCTGGCTCTTCCCATCCTTAGAGATGCTGGTAAGTTGTTGCCTCTTCAGAACTTTCCTCTGCCTCTCTCTCTCTCTCTTCCCACCCTACATCCTTCCGGGGATGTAGTACCCATCTCCACATCCCACCTAGCCTCTATCTAGCATCAATGTTAGTTTAGCTGTCTTATTAGTATTCTTTCCCTTCATTGGAAAATAGCTTCCTACAGAGAAGAAAGTGGGGAGTACCAAGACATAGGGAGAGGATTAAAAGGTACAATCTACCATGTTTAAAATAAAGAAGTTACAGGGATATACAGGTACAACACAGGGAATATACTCAATATTTTATAATAACCTTAAATGGAATGTAATCTATAAAAACTTTATTATTCTGTACATGTGAAACTAATATACTAATGTAATAAGCTATACCACAATAGAAAAATAAACAAAACATAAAGGCAAACACACACACACACACAAAAACCAGATACCCAGAGGATAGTGACATTATAGTGTAAAGTGAGGCAGGCAGGTTCAAATCCAAGCTCCATGGCTTATTCATTGTGTGATCTGGGCTTCATGTTTAATCATTCTGTGTTTCAGTTTCCTCATCTGTAAAATGGGGATACTAACAATCCTTACTCTGCAGGGTTATTGGAATCATTTGATCCAATTTCTTTAAATGGCCTTCCGTCCTCAGCCTTGCCCCCACTCCACATCCTCTTATCTTCTTTCCTGCCAGGACGTCCCTTGCTCACTTTTTTTTCATTGACTTTCTGCATCCACTCAAGGCCCGTGTGACCTGCCTCACCTCCAGGAACTGCCACATCCGTCCCCGGTGGCACAGACATGCTAACTCCCCTCCGCCTCCCTCCATCGAGCACAGTCTTCGGCTTTGAGCCGAAGTCATAGGCTTTGAGCCTGTGCGCAAAGCCACCCACCCACTGAAGCCCCCATTCATCAGCTCTATGGCCAGCTGGCTCTTCCCATCCTTAGAGATGCTGGTAAGTTGTTGCCTCTTCAGAACTTTCCTCTGCCTCTCTCTCTCTCTCTTCCCACCCTACATCCTTCCGGGGATGTAGTACCCATCTCCACATCCCACCTAGCCTCTATCTAGCATCAATGTTAGTTTAGCTGTCTTATTTGTATTCTTTCCCTTCATTGGAAAATAGCTTCCTACACAGAAGAAAGTGGGGAGTACCAAGACATAGGGAGAGGATTAAAAGGTACAATCTACCATGTTTAAAATAAAGAAGTTACAGGGATATATAGGTACAACACAGGGAATATACTCAATATTTTATAATAACCTTAAATGGAATGTAATCTATAAAAACTTTATTATTCTGTACATCTGAAACTAATATACTAATGTAATAAGCTATACCACAATAGAAAAATAAACAAAACATAAAGGCAAAAAAACACACACACACAAAAACCAGATACCCAGAGGATAATGACATTATAGTGTAAAGTGAGGCAGGCAGGTTCAAATCCAAGCTCCACGGCTTATTCATTGTGTGATCTGGGCTTCATGTTTAGTCATTCTGTGTTTCAGTTTCCTCATCTGTAAAATGGGGATACTAACAATCCTTACTCTGCAGGGTTATTGGAATCATTTGATCCAATTTCTTTAAATAACTCCTTAAAGAAGTTGCTACATGTCAAAGACTTAGAACAGTGTCTGGCCGGCACATGACATTAGTTGGTTTCTATTGTCATTGTTATTTTGGATGCATTTCTTATTCTTAAACCAAGTCAGTGCCTGAAATTCAAACACTGATAGTTGATTGAGTTAATGAAAAATTACAATGCCCTCTTCATCACTTCACCATTTTTTACTGTCACTTATATTTTTGCTAGGCAATTTTGAGGGTACATTCAGGAGTCATTTTTCAATTTATATGAAACCTAGAGAGATAAAGCAGACAGATATCAATATACATGATCAAAAATCCTACTGCTCCTTAATTTTTCTCGACACTGCTCATGAAAATAACAACATGTAAATTCAGTAAAAACTCACTAAACTTGTTTAAGGATAACTTTTAACCTTCCTTTTAAGCAAAAGAGACATGTTTTCTATGCCAATAATAAATGGATGTTCAAGGGCAATTTGTTATAATAAGTGACTGAGGAAGAAAATCAGTAACCACAGAAAGTTCCACATTAGCTGTTTATATTTCCTGATGTTAACCACTGCTTATTGATTTCCCTACATCTTCACAGACAAAATTTCACTTGGCTTTTAGTACTAATTTTAATCTCTTCTTTACCCATGTAATTTCTAAAAATTATTTCCTTTATGCAAAGAAACTAGAATGGCCAATAAAATAAGAACAGTAGCTGTTTTTTAGAAAGGACAATGTGGCCCAACTCAACTCTGGATTTAAAGTGGGGAGCAGTCACTTACAATTAAGAAAACCTCCTCTGTTCATGGGTATCAAATGAAGACCAAGTTACACAGAGTTCACAATGTGTAAAACAATGTAAGCAAAAATAAAAACATGAATCACAGAGAGGCTTTCTCAGTTGAGACTCCATTAGAGAATTAAATCTATGTTTTAACCTATAGTTTATCACTTAAACCAGAATGTTTTGAGAATAAAAAAAGGCACTATTAATAATTATGCTCAGATAACTAGTATAAATTGCATCATGTGATCCACCCTTGTGAAGCTGACAAACCTAAAGAACCAACCAACCAAAGTTAAAAGGCCCAAGACGGTTGTTTCCGTTTTTTGTTTGGTTTTGTATTTTCTGATCCTACCCTCCCCCAGACTCTCCCCCTTGCATGTCCAAGAGCATGGCAATTTTACTCCAAACACAGTAGTACAAACGTAGAACTTACTTCTTAATTCTTTCTCCAAAAGAGGCTAATTCCTCCAAGATGTTTTGAACAGTTGAGACAATATCCTGAACCATGTAGATCCTTTCAATTAAGCCCTTCTTCTCAGATTCCTAAGAAACATGAAAGATTGAACTCAGTTACTTCATTTTTATTGGTCTGTTATAGAAATCATCATGCCAGTATTATCATAACATGGCTATTAGCAACAGAGTGACTTCAGGAGATAAATTTACATTTTTTACAATTTACTTATCGGCTCACCAAATTCCTGACTACTCATGAGATGCGACCACTTGTCGTGTGCAAGCATGTTACCATCTCAATATCATGAGCTGATGAAGGAGAACTCCAGAGAACAAAGAACGTCATTTCCCTGCAGAGTCGCTGCTTCTCCCAGAGAATTCTGTAACTTCTTTCACTGGCCGATCCTGGGTTGCTCTGTCTTCACAAGGTTAGCTTACTTACCCCTCTTCTGATAGTTCTTCCTACCCTCCCCAAGACTCTCCCCCTTGCATGTCCAAGAGCATGGCAGTTTTACTCCAAACACAGTAATACAAACGTAGAACTTACTTCTTAATTCTTTCTCCAAAAGAGGCTAATTCCTCCAAGATGTTTTGAACAGTTGAGACAATATCCTGAACCATGTAGATCCTTTCAATTAAGCCCTTCTTCTCAGATTCCTAAGAAACATGAAAGATTGAACTCAGTTACTTCATTTTTATTGGTCTGTTATAGAAATCATCATGCCAGTATTATCATAACATGGCTATTAGCAACAGAGTGACTTCAGGAGATAAATTTACATTTTTTACAATTTACTTATCGGCTCACCAAATTCCTGACTACTCATGAGATGCGACCACTTGTCGTGTGCAAGCATGTCACCATCTCAATATCATGAGTTGATGAAGGAGAACTCCAGAGAACAAAGAACGTCATTTCCCTGCAGAGTCGCTGCTTCTCCCAGAGAATTCTGTAACTTCTTTCACTGGCCGATCCTGGGTTGCTCTGTCTTCACAAGGTTAGCTTACTTACCCCTCTTCTGATAGTTCAGAAAGGCTTCCAGCAGGTAGCAATAGGGCATGCTGGACATCCAGATGATATTCAGTTGTCTAAGAATATTATCCTTACTTTGCTTAGAGAAAACTTAAAATGTGTTTTCCCACGTTAGGCTGTTGTTGTTCAGTCGCTAAGCTGTATCTGACTCTTTGGGACCCGACGGAATACAGCACATCAGGCTCCTCTGTCCTTCACTATCTCCCGGAGTCTGCTCAAATTCATCTACACTGAGACAGTGATGCTACCTAAGCATCTCATCCTCTGCCGTCCCCTTGTCCTTTTGCCTCAATCTTTCCCAGCATCAGAGTCTTTTCCACTGAGTCAACTCTTTGCATTAGGTGGCCAAAATATTGGAGCTTCACCTTCAGCATTAATATTCAGGGTTGATTTCCTTTAAGACAGAATGGTTTGATCTCCTTGCAGTCCTAGGGACTCTCAGGAGTCTTCTCCAGCACCACAATTTGAAAGCATCAATTCTTTGGCACTCAGTCTTCTTTATGGTCTAACTTTCACACCCGTACAGGACTACTGGAAAAAACATAGCTTCGACTATACAGACCTTTGTTGGCAGAGTGATGTCTCTGCTTTTCATATGCTGCCTAGGTTTGTCATAACGTTCCTTCCAAGGAGTCTTCCAAGGAGTCTTTCAATTTCATGGCTGCAATTACCATCAGCAGTGATTTTGGAGTGCAAGAAAATAAAGTCTTGTCACTGCTTCCACTTTTTCCCCTTCTATTTGCTGTGAAGGGATGGGACTGGATGCCATGATCTAACCATGTTAGGTAGCTGATGCTTATAAAACTAATCTAGAAATCACTCACATGTTGGATAAAAGATGATTCCCTAAAGAAGGGCATTTTCACACTATATCTTATATTCTGATACCATATTCTAGCTCCGTTATGAACTCTATTGTAACTGGGATTTAGTTACTAACTTCTTAGCTCAGGCCAAGCTGAGCCAGTATAGCTGTTACATCTAACATATAATACCTAAAACCTCAAATAAACCTAACAAAACTTATTTTTTCTACCTAAAATTTTACTTGGGTTAGAATTATACTAAATTATCTTCTAAATCCAAGAGACCGTTTCTATAATAATCTTCTTTGCAACAACAGCAAAAAAAATTCATTCTCATCTTGTATTCTCTGTTCCATCAAACTGGACCCATGGATGGAGGAAGGAAAACATACTACCTCATAGCGATTTCAGTGACTGGTAAAAGCATCAATATGACAGAAATGTCAAAAAGCAGAAATTTCCCTTGTTGTTTATGGAGTTACTGGCAGAAACAAAGAGATGGGCTGAGGTTAGGATGTACCATTTCTATCTCCTTTATAGTAAGGGTGCTGGGGTGGTCTGAATAACGTCTCACCATCTGTTCTGCACCCATTTATCCAATGATCCTGTACAGTAGGAGGTCATACTCATTGCTTTCTCTTGCAAGTCAAACTTGCAAGACATTTTTACTTTTTTCACTCCAATTTTCAATTTCTTACTTCCCTTACTCTTTCTAACTCTAATTCTTCAAGTGGTTTTGTATTAAAAACTGGATATACTGCCAGAACGACTTAATTCATGTTCAACAATCCACCAACATCTATTAATGGGCACAGTGGTGAAAACCCATCTCTGTCTGCTGCAGAAATATTCATGTTTATAAAGGAGGATTTGAAAGCACCAGGGAATTTGACCCAAAGGGCAAAAGTGGCTTCCTCTTTTCAACAGCATAGAGTTTAGGTCAAAACAATTTTTTGGAAAATGACTCAAATTTCCATGTGGCTCTATTTCATAACAATGTCCTACTTTAGTTGACTGATTTTTTTTTTTTCCTCCTGAAACACCCCAAATGCAGAGATTCTGGTTGTGATGAAAAGCCTGGGTTAGTACATCAAAATAATAAATGATTCTCACAAGGTTCTCTCACTTTTTAATGAATTTGATGTTTCAGTTTGAATAATCAGTATTTAAAGACTAAGCTAAAAATTTCACTGTATCTAGGGTAACAAGATAATTTATGAACTATAAATGTATACTTTTAAGAGTGAAAGTAAACAGAACTATGTAATATTTGAAGTATTTATCAACTGACAACTTGGTTTATTGTATTAGTGGATCTATAAAATTATTTCATTGTCATTTTCATAATGACATTGTCTCAAGATAAAAACATATACTTTACATATATTAGGACAAAGAAACTTGCCCATACTATGTGAATTGTAAAATGATACATAAGAATGATTATTCATTCCATATATTCATATATTTAATTGGTTTTCTAGTTATAGTTGTTGATAGTCCCATGTCAAGCTTACTTTTCCACAAAAGTAATATTATCTTTAATGTCATCTTTTCACTTCCATTTCATAAAATTGTTCTTACCTATCTTCAGAGTTGCACCTAATCATTGTTAAATTGATACATTAAATTGACTCTACTGCAGACCATAATTTTAATTACAAAAATACTTTCTCTCCAGGGACTGAGGTACTTTGAAAATTCACAACAAAAATGTGATACATGAAGAATATTCTCGATTCTGTTTTTTAAATATTAAAATCTGTATATATTTCAGCCCAAATAATTTCAAAGGCACTATATTCATTCATACGAACTTTATCAAACTTTTTTCAAGATAAAACTTTAAGTTGTATGTATAATTTTTCAAATTCTTCTAAAGTTGAAATTCTTCAAATTTATGCTGAAAAGTAAGTGGCTTCTCAATTTCCTTCCATTCCTGGGTAGAATTTATATTTATCCTATTAAAGATCAAAAGTTTTTTTAATCCCACCAACTGAGATAATCCAAAGTGTAACTTGTGAATTTAAACACCAAATCACGCATAGGATCTGACCTCACAGATTACTTTGTGTTGAATATCCATTGCTTTTGCAAAGAAAAAATTGTTATTTTTGCCCGTTCTTTTAAAATTGATTTCCATTTACTAAAAGCTTTCAAAGATGAGGTAATTAGAATTTTCAGTTATCAAAAATTTTGATTAAAAAATTTCCAACTGACATGACCAAAATGCAACAAACACTGAAAAGATTTCTTTTTTTCCCCACAAGAGTTCAATAGCTTTGGAGAATGTTTAAGTTGACTGAGAGTTCAAAGGTTTCAAACACTCTTAAAATCAGACTGATGGATGGATGACTGGCAGCAAAAAGAAAGTGCACACAGACATGCTGAATGAAATATATTTTTATATCTGACATATCTTTGCCATGAAAACTTTGCTGTTGCTATCCCAACTCTGTGTATATAAAATATTTATAAATGTGGACACTACAGCTGCTAATTCAATTGGTTGTGCATTATCACTTGTCTGTATGCAACCATGGATAATAGGGTACCATGATCTATCACTTGTAAATTTCTGCTTCAAAGATCCATTCAACTTACATGAGTATCTTATTAGCCATGGTGCTGTGCTTCATCAAAATTTGCATTCATATTATCACTACAAAAGTAAATAACCTTCAATGCTACATGTTTCAAATAAATTTACAATAGCATTCCTGATGTCAGAGACTTCATTTTTTGTAAAACTAACTTGTAAAGCTCTATTTTGATTCCATACAGTGGATGTAAAAATATAACATTTCAGGTTGCCACAGCAGGGTACTGGAAAAGTTTTCAATTAGCAGTAATCACCCCTCAGATAAACCTCATTGGCTACAATATTGCCACTGTGCAAAGCTACAACAGATTTCAGAATTAACTTACTTGATATTGTTTGAGTCATTTGATGGCCTGCTGATAAGACTGGCATCATTTGACTCTTCACAAGGTTTTTGATACATTGATGCTACTGAAGTGAACATATTAACATGTACCTTGCCCTTTCTCATACATGCATAATGAAACTTTGGGATGGAAGATGAGATAAGTGTGGAAGAACAGTCATTTGATCCAAACGAAAACTCATGCTGCACACAAGGGTGTGTAAACACATCTTTTGGGCTGTGTAATTTAAAACCATGTTTCCAGAAGTGGTCTTCTAAAAATAACTATTGACAGTTGAAGGCTCTTCAGCAGGTTTGCAACTTAAGCTTACATGTATCAGTGATGTGATCATGGTCCCAGCGGTAGATAGGAAACGTGAATGTTAGTTCATTAACAATTATCTTAAAAAAATGGATTATCAGTACTTGATTATTCATTATTCATATTATTCATCAAACATGCAACTCTTTATTATTATTTACTCACTGAAAAAGCATTATCAAGAAGTAAAACAACATGCAAATTTACCAAAATCTTTACCTGCTGAGCCGTCGGGGAAGCCCAAGAACCCTTGTAACTGACATCTATTTCCTAGGCTGCTAGAAAGACTACAGCAGAGACTGAAAGCACAAACTGAAAGCACGAGCGGCTTGTCCTAGCTTATTTTTACGGAAACAGTAAATATGATGCTTAGTTTTTTTTTTTAAAAATGGGGACTATAAAAACAGTAAATGGAAATATTTGGGCAAGTAGGAGCACGTGATGAACCTAAATCAGTTTTACCTAAAATTCATTAGCACAGGAAGGGACCAATTGTGTCCAAAGTATTCTTGGACAGGGAGAAAAAGGCTTTTTCTTTTGTATAAGTTTCTACCCCCTCCTTGGAATCT